ATATAAAACTAAAAAAAGTTGATTTTACATGATATTGCCCCTTTAAAACAATGCATTTAGCAGTTGAATGAATAAATCTATTATCATGTGTGGACCAGGTCCAAACTGTGCTCAGTAGCTGATGATTTTATAAAACTGTTGCTTAAAATGTTTAAACATCAGTTTTAGAAATTGACATCATACTGGCATTCTAAAAGATAAAAATCATAAATGTTACACATTTGCCCCATTCATTCTTTCATGTACACGGACCAGTCGTCCTGGTCCCTTTGCAGAGAAACAGCCCCAAAGTCCATTTTTAACTTCTGGAGTCAACCAGATTCAAGATGGCCGCCTCATCAAAATGTCCTTTTCTAACTTAATGAGAGATTAAACCTGATAAAAGCTGAATTTATTCTGAATAAAAGGTTCAGTCAGATCAGAAACTCTGCAGGATTTTCTCTTTGATCTGCAGATTAAAGGGTTTCACTTTGTGACCTGTAATTAAAGCTTCTTCCTGTGAATTCAAACAGAACCTTCAGATCTGGACCTCGTGGTTCTGAAACAGGAAGTTGCTGCAGCAGTTCCAGCTTTCAGCTCCGCTTCACATAAACGTTTAATCTTCAGCTTCAGTGCAAAACAAACCTGAGTCAGACAGGAGTTTGAGGGGAGATATTTCACATGCATTTAAAAAACACACCTGTGCACATTTATCTCTGTGCACATTTATCTCTGTGCACATTTATCTCTGTGCACATTTATCTCTGCAGAGTTTGTTTTCTGATTTGTCACTTCCTTTTTCTGCAGATTCACACAAACAAAACAGGAAATGCTAAAAACCTGATTAATAATCACCTTTTCACTCTAAAGATAAAAACTTGTAACTGCAGCTGCAGCAGGCAGAGCTGACCACCAGGGGGCGCTACACAGTTACATTTCCTGTTCTCCAGCTTCATTTAAAGTCATATTTCCTGTTTTCTCCATTAAAAAMTCAACTTTCAACATTCCTCAGTTAATCTGGTGACTTTCATCATGTTTAGATTCTTATTTAGTTTCTAATTTGGAGTTTTTCTGAGTCCGGCCGGCACTGATTTCCTGCAGAAGCGGAATAAAATGCAACACCGGTGTTACAGAAAACAGATTTAAAACGTGTGAGGAGAAGTTATGTAACGRCTTCATTGTTTCAGAGCTCCCAGCTCTGCTAATGAAAACACAAACTTCCTCACAGAGATGACAGATTATAAAGCAGCTCGTTTTCATTTTATTACAGAATAAAATCTGTTTGTTCCTCCTGATCAGACRCTTCAGCTCAATAAAAGAAGGTTTAATGACCGTTTGGTCAAATATTTTATTATAAGTAAGTTTTATTAAAACTAAAACTTAGTAAAATAAAACAATAAAAACATGAAGAATGAAGGAAACTGCAGCGTGATGACATGAGCCGCACATCTCTTCTTTCATTTGTAGCTTTTTTATATCCAACCTTTAGCTGCTTTTAGCCACCAGTTAGCATTTTGCTATATTTAGACTTCAGCTAATCTTTTGGACATTTTCAGCGTGACGACATGAGGTGTGGATCTGGTTCAACGTGTTTTTCTTTCGTCAGCTCACCTTTAAACTCTGCACCTGTGGAAACCGGTCACTGACGGTACCACCGGACCTTTGACTCAACAGGTGCATCATTCAGAGTCCTGGTCCAGTTCTGGGTTCAGTTCTGATGGTTTAGGTTGATAAGCAGAAGTTCTGGTGTGTGTGTGTGTGTGTGTGTGTGTGTGTGTGTGTGTGTGTGTGTGTAACGTGGGTGGAAGTCTCGTCTGGAATGTCAACAGTGAATTCTCGCGGAGCCGCTCAGCCCTCAGGTTTCTCTCACACAGATTATTCACGTTTACAAAGTCCTGATTTATTCCTCCAGCGCCGGTATCAATCATCGGTCCATATAAACACCGACGGGCCTGAACCCTGACTGGGTCAGGACATTGAAACAGGTCTGGATCGTAGGGGGTGTGGACTCCACTGAGCCCTCTGACGGCCTGCGGAGGAATCTGGCACCAAGCTGTCATCTGCAGAWCCTGGACCTGAGTCCAGATTTTTCTGCTTTTATTCAACAGAGATTAAGAYGATGGGAAGAAAATGGTCCAGGAGTCACGGCTCTGTTAGAAATGAAGTTGGTGGATTTGTACCCGGTCTGTTCACAGCAGTTTTTACCCTGACTGGGTACGACACTGTTACCTGTTGGCCCTGGTGATTTTAAAAGTCTACTTGASTCCAGAGTCCTGGAGTTGGAGCAGGGTGGGTCAGCTGCGGGCGGGTTACTTTGTGTACGAAGTGACCACAGAGTGAAGCTGCAGGCGTTCTGACTCAGAGCAGAGAAAGTGACTTCATGTTTTCACCTCCTGAGTTTGTGAAASTTTAATCTGTAAACAGAAACTTCAGCTGTTTGTAAACCTGAGTGTCAGTCGTTAGCTGTGGCAGCCATCCTGACTCTGACTGATTCCAAATATTCATCCCCTGACC